CTCTGCCTAAGAGGCTCTGAGTGTTTCTTATTCTAATCATCTGACTTCATGACCTCTGTGCAAAAATAAAAGGACCTGATGCCTGAAGTCCCAGAGCTTAAGAGTATCCAGCAGCACCCTAAACCCAGGGTATATGCCTTTATCTTGGTCAACAGAAATAAAGAAGCCCATGCCCTTCATGTTCAGAAGTAAGTAGCTGAATTGGTTAGGAGACATAGCTGGGAACTGCCTCCTAGCATGTTGGAGATTGAACACACTGCTGCCTGCCCTGCATGACATGGATGTTCTAGATTCCCATGAAGATTGGATAAGGAGATGTTCAGGCCTTCTCTAATCCCCAAATTGACTCTTGATGGTGCGTGCCCCTGTTCCCCATCAGACTCTTTGACCTTTCTGCTTTCCCCAACATGAGACTTTCTGCCTCCAAAGAATGGTGCCCTCAAAATTCCCTGTTTGTCTGTGGGTGCCTCAAATATTCTCACTCTGTCCAAGGGTTCTCCAAATTGTGTTTCTAACAAAGGGGCCTCAGACTTATTCCTTCAGAATCAGAAGGCAATTAGTGAATGACTGAGGCCCCCTGGCCCTTAAAGGAAAGGTTGACAATGTCTCCTGAACACTAGGGAATGGCTGAAGCTTTTGTTGTTGAGGGTGTAGATCCAACCCCCTCCCCGCGAGTTACTGGTAAATGTTGTGAGTTACCTTGTTTCTAGACAGATAAGATTGAGGCCACCTGGGCCATTGGGGAGTATCTGAGCTTCCCTGGTTCTGAAGGACAGATCAGAAGTCTCCTTTGTCCATACAGCAGTTTGGAAGACCTGTGGTTCTGAAGTGGTAGGTCTGAAGCCTGCTTGAGAATTAGTGGAGTGCATTTGTCTTCCTGGTTCATACTTTCCCCAATGTCTGAAGTGGAGTTCAAATTGTTTCAGGGGCTCATGGTGTGCTCAGGCACATCTCCTCTGAATCACGTTGCGATCAACCTGGTAGACTCAGTCCAGGCAGGTCCAGTCCCTTCCTCCCAGACTGAGCCAAGCATCCCTGCATAAGTTCCAGGTTTCAAACAGCCAACTCATGGAATGAGCACAGGACTTGGTCCCACTGCCTAGTTGCCTCCCAAACTGATCAAGCCAATCAACGGAAATACACTCTTGACCACCAAAGGAACCTCATGGAACGCTAGATTGAAGTCACATGACAGAAGAATAAAAACCTCACCCTGGACCCAAGGCCATCTATTTTCAAGCTGCTCACCAGAAAGATGACTGTCCTCCACATCCACACCTGTGCAGCTTATCGTGAGTTTAAGTAGAGAACAGACCCACCTGTCAGAAGAACCCTCTGATTGATGTCAAGCCTCAACAAGTCCTCAGAGATAAGGATTTTCTAGAGTTCACTGAAGATTTGGAGACTGACTAGGAGTGTCTAGACCCTCCTCCTCTAGAAGCAGGGACGTTCTCCTCTGCCCAACAAGGTCTGGGATCGGTCTCCTTTCCTAAACCTTATTTTTTTGATCTGATAACTTAGGCCTTATAATCTCCCCTTTGACCCCAAGGGCCCTCAGAACTTTCCCCTCTGAGCAAGGGCACATGTGATATTTCACCTGTGACCAAGGAGCATTGGTCACTCTTGTTAGAGCTGACAGAAGAAGACCAAGGAAATCTGGATCCCATGTCACCTCCTTGAGTGAAATCACCTGTCATGGTGTGGAATCATGAGTCCCACCCAGTTCTGGTTGGCTGAACTCAATTCTTAGGAGTCAACCACACTGGGGCTCCTACCCAAGCTGCTAATGAATCCTGGTACTGATGCTTGGTCTCTTGCAGATTCAGCTAAAGATATGGACATCCTATCCTGTGGAGAAGAGTTAGAAGGTGAGGCAATGCTGGCACCTTATGAGGTATGGTAGTCAATTTAATTTTTGCTCAGAGTTGTATGGGATTTTCATACTCTGATTACATCTTCCCTGTCACATGGGCCTCAGAAACTCCTTCCTCCCCAAGGGTACTCACTCTTTCTCCCTTTGATTTAGGAGACATCCAATCTTCCTCCTGAAACAAAGGGAGACCCACATTTTTCCAGTTTGTCCAAAGGAAGCCTAGGCATTCATTTTGCGTGAGGGGGCCACACACTTCCTGATATTATGGAGTGGGCCTCAGCAATTCTTCTTGATAAATGGGTCCCAAATTTGCCCTTCAGTACAAGGTAAACTGAAGGCCCAATACTGATGTCATGAAGAACCTCTGACATAATACCTTGTCAAGGAAGTTGGCTACATTCTATTTTCCTTGAATAAGCGGACTTTACAGACACACCGTTTCATTTGAAGGGGACTGATACAAACTCATGATTGAGGGAATACAGACTGGGCCAGTGACATGAAAACTCTCTCAAATGTTCATCTTTTTCTAAAGTAAACCTCAAATCAACACTCCCTGACAATGGCTTCCTGAGAGAAACCACTTCTATCCGCAGAGACCTCAGCTCTCTTCCTCTAACTGAGGCCTCAGTCTTTCCCTTCTGAGCTGGGTGGCCAGGCATTCCCAAATGACCAAAGAGATGTCAGATCACTCTGAACTTATATCCTGGGACATGACTGTAAACATGTGATCCCTGATTAAACACCTTCTACTTTTAAGATTCTCACCAGAAACGGAACAGTTCCATCTTTGTTGGCCATGCCTGTGCTGCTGATGAAAGGCTCGTGGAGGATGCAGAGCTAGGGATTACCAACCAACCTATAAGAAAAATGCTCTGATTACTGGCAAGCAAAGCTCAGAGTCCAGAACACATGGGTATTCTGGAGTATGAGGACATTTGGACTTGATAAGGTATTGCCCGCACCTTCATCCAGTTCCCAAGGTAACCTGGGAGCTTCATCTTCTGCATGAAGTATTCTAGGACCTTTCTGCTCATTCCTACTACCCCTACCAACACAAACCTTTCTTCTGTTCAAGAATGGGGCCTGACATCTTTCCACATATGGTCAAATGTGTCTCACATTGAACTGATCAGGCATAGGTCTATGAGAGACTCTTTCTATAAACAAGGGGCACCAGTCCACTTTGGTTTGTGGTCCCATAGGCCAAGTTTAGCAATCACAGCATAGAAACCCATGCCATCTGCCTTTAGGCCAGTCAGTAGAAATGGAATGACTTCAACATCTCTGCCTAGATCAGGACAGCTAAACACAAACTAGAGGAAACAACCTAGCCAGGGACAGTCATTCAGGCCATTGGAACAAGACATGGGTTGTTGCTACCTTGTCTCTCCCAGAATGAACACAAACTATGAAGACACAAAACTCTGAATAAGAGTTGGAAGCTCATGATCAATATTGGGAACTTTCTCCACTGTATATGGTATCTGGGATATGCACCTTCAACAGAAGTTATATGTCACCTTCACCCTCTGCCCAAAGGAGATTCTGTCTTCATTTATCAATGGGCCTCAGAGGATTTCTCTCTTATATAGGGCTCAGAGCTTCCACTTTTCCTGTTATTATTATTATTATTATTATTATTATTATTATTATTATTATTACTATATTATTCCTTCTCAGTATGTAGAACAGGATGTCAGAACTCTCCTAAGATTAAGGTTGTTCAAAACCCCATTTTCCAACAGGGCCTAAAACATTTATTTTGTGTTACATGGTCCATATATATATCCCCATTCCTACCAAGTGGCTCTGAGTATTTTCTTTTCTCATTAAAGGGGTGTCAGACCAAGAGTGCATTATACTACTCTGCACAAACAAGATGCAGACATTTCCGAGCTTCCCAGTAGGCTGTGGGCCAATTATATACCTCTATCCAGCAAGAGGATTTCAAACATCGAGTTTCTGTAAAAGGAGATCTGGGAAATCAAACTCACTGAAAGGACACTCAAAACTCTCCCCCGTATCCAAGGGATGTCTCAGACCTCTACCCTCTGCTCTTTGGCACTTTAGGTCCACCCTTGTGTCTAAAGAACCATCAGAGCTCCCCTTCTTTCCATGGTGATGTCACACATTCCCCTATTAACTAAGGTTGCTGTAGAGCTGACCCCTCTGACAGAGATAGCCATACGAACACATATGTGACCAATGAGACCTCACAACTTTCTGCTTTTAGATCATAGGCAGCAGATAGAAAGATGAAATCAGCTCTCAAGCCATTGGCCTCAAAAGTTGGTTATCAAAAATATACTATTCCTATCTTGTATTCACAGATATGTTCAGCTGAACACAATCTTGAGGAAACATCAATGCTTGCATAACCACTTATCCTGTTGGAAAACTGTTATGAGATTTGCCTTAGACTCTCGAAGATTTCACACAGGGTTTGTATGTTTATTGGGAAAATAGCTGGAAGCTAGTGAGGCAGAGCCAGGACCTTTTCCTATTACCCAGGATAGGCTGGGACCTTCCCCTTCTGACCATGGGTGAACTGCATATTCCTATTCTATCAAATATGGCTGGGGCCCCCTCCCTGTGAACAAAGATGTTCAGGGTTTCTCCTTTGCAGAAGGTGGTCTCATGACTTCCCATTCCTGAGAAGAGGTTCTCAGAACTCTGCTAATCCCACGAGACCTCACACATTCCTTGTCTATTGAAATTAAGTAGTCATGAGAACTACTCCGTGTCATACTGAGCCTCCATCCTTCCCCCCATTAACAATCTGGTCTTATATGTTACCCACCTGTTCATGGGGGAGTAGGAACCACTGCTTTTGACCCAAGGAAACTCATGCATTCATTTTATTCTCAAGATGGCATTGGACATGCTCTTTTGAATAATATTGCATCATACCTTGTATTATTATTTCACAAATCCTCAAGCATCCCCTTAAATCTTTGAAGTACCTCCAACATATGCTACTCCAAATAAGAGAGATTTAAACATTTCAGTTTTGACCTTGGTGGCTAGGGAAATGCATTGCTCCACTCTGGTTTGAGGGCCCAGTTCCTAAGTGTATTTTTAGAGACTGGATCCTATGCTCCTCTCTTCAATCACATCACTAGAAATCAGGTGGCCCCATCATTGCCTCCCAGATATGGACTATGAAGACAAAGTGGGAGAAGAGGCAACCTAGCCAGGGACAGCCATCCAGGCTCTTTGAAGAAGGCACTGGTTGCTGCCCAAACTCTCCGAGACTCAACACAAGCTTTGGAAATTCTAAAGTAGAGCTGGAAGATAAAGTGCAGTGATGGGACCTTCCTTCATTGAATAAGGCAGCAGAGACATTCACCTTCAACAGAACTGTTCCGTTCTCTGTCCAAGGGTTTTCCAACTCATAAATTTGCCCAACCAGGTGTCAAAGTTTTCTCTTTCTGACAAGGGGCCCAGTGCTTCCTCTCTTCTCAAGTTACCTCACTCCTTGTACCTAATTGAAGAGAATGTCAAACCTCCCTCCCAGGACAAAGCCTACTGCAGACCTTCCCCATTTGCCCAAGGTGGTCCCAAGTACTCATTTTGTGGAAAAGGCCCTCAAACTTTCAGTTTCTTTGCAAGTGGGCCTAAGTCATTTCCTTCTGACTAAAGAGGGCTCAGACCAAGTATTTCTTACACCACTCCTTCTGTACAAGTGAGAATAAGATCTGCCCACATGCAGTTCAGTGTAGTGTGAAAGAGGGCTATGATTACCTCCTTTCAACCACAAAGACTACAGAGATCCCATTTTTGCCCACAAGTGTCTGGCCACATAATGAATGAGACCTCAGAATTGGCTCCCATGGCCAAGGGGGTCTCATTCCTTCTCTCTATACTCAATGGAGCCTCAGATCTAGCCTCTGACCTTGGGATGCCCTAGACAATTCCCTGCCTTCAAAGTGCACCTTACATGTGACCCTTGAACTCATATTACTTTAGTGTCAATCCCTGTAACCAAGATTGCTAGGCAAACACATTTGTCACCAATGGGACCTCAAAAGATCCTAGGTTTAGATCAGATGGCAAAATATAGCAAGCTAAAACTAATAGTCATTCCATCTGCCCAGAAATGGTTGTTAGAAACCATCTTCTGTAATGTTCCCATCTTTTATTGATGGATAATCACAGATCAATACAACCTCGAGGAAGCATCAGAGTCCAGACAATCACACATCCTTTTGGAAGAGTGTTGTAATTGCTTCTTGTATTCTTCCCAACAGTCAATGTAATATATGGATAATGGAAGGTGCAAAGAGCAGTTGGAAGCACATGATGCAAAAACCACACCATTCTCCCACCACCCAAGGTAAGCTAGGCTTTTCCCTTCTGCACAGTGGAGTGACTGGATCTTGCTATTTAGGTAAACATGGCCGAACATTTTCTGTCTAAGTTTGGTGCTGATGAAGGAGTGAGTGCCTGGAACTTCTTATAATTCTCAAGGTGTCATTCAACCTTCAGCTTCTGCCCAATAGTGCAGCAGGCATATGACCAAGAGAGGTTGAGACCATTCATTCAATCCTGGAGGAGTTCCTATCTCATCCTTCTACATTAAAGGGTCTTGGATCTCTCACCTGCTCCCAAATTGATAGCAGAAATTCCTCTTCTGCCCACTGGGAGATTGGATATGTCGCACCTACCCAAAGAAGTCTAAGAGTATCCTCTCTTACTGAAGTGGCTTTTAGACTCTCATCTCTCCCCCAAGTATACCCCAACTATTTGTCTTCTGACCAAATGGTTCTCAGACCTGCCTGTTCTAATATAGAGCTACAGTCCACCAATATCCAAAGGGTTCTCAGGCCTGAATACACCCTGTGGGGGTGGACTTACTGGGTCTATGTAATTGGGCCACACATAATTCCATTGTAACCAAAGGAGTTTCAATCTACTGTCTCTCTTTTACCAGGGGGCCTCAGACCTTCAAGTAGTCTTCAAATATGCACTTCTGCCCAAGGAGGGCCTCACATGTTTCTCTTCTGATTCAGGGGCCTCGGACATTCCCCACACAAACTTGGGGTCCTAGAACATTTCTTTTTCTTTCCCAATGACTTCTCCACACCAACTAGTCTTAAAGTATCAGAGCCCAAGAGTAGCAAGTAGAGTCTAGAACCAAAGCCCACTGCCTTAAGGCAGAAAACAATATAATGTGGCCTCCATCATTCATACCTAGACCTGGGCAGCTGAACATACTCTTGAGAAGGAGAACCAGCTTGAGACTATCACACAGACTTTTGGACAAAATCTCAGACTGCTGCCTGTTCTGCCACATGTTCACTACAGTGGACAGATGTTTGAGTCTCCAAAGAAGAGCTGGGAGCTGATAAGGCAGTACCTGGAATGTGTTCCACTTCTCGAGGTGAGCTGGGACCTTGATCTCATGTCAAGAAGTGGGTATGCACATTTCCACCTCTACCCAGCCCAACATATTAGTCTAGCTCTATAAAAAGACCCCAGACTTCTACTCTCTCTCCAAGAGGCCCTCAAACATTTCCTCTGTGACTCTGGGGGCCTTGTATTTTCCCCAGGGCTCTTGAGTTCTCATTTCTTCCCTATACCTCTTGGTAAGCCTCAGACCTCTCCCCATCTGACCCACTGATCCCTAGTTGTATATCTCTGATTAGTGTTGGGGGCCAATCAGGTTCTCCCGTTGACCAAGGGTGTCTCACACATACTAATGGAGTACCCAACTCCACCTCTGGCTAACAGAACTTCAGACCTTCCTCTCCCATTATGTAAGGTGTCTATACTAACATCCAAATGGCCTCTGGTTTTACCCTCTGAGCAAGCAGGTGTCCAACATTCCCACTCTTATCAAAGAGTCATCACATTTACATAATGTGGACAAAGATGCCTTGGGGATTCTCAAGATCAACAACAATATAACATTCCTCTCCTCAGATTTGAGGTCTCACAGCTCAGCACTAGTAAGGAGAGCCTGGAACAGTAGTCATCAATCTTCATGGCATTCAACAGAAGGTCAGAAATGGGGTGGTTCCAACTTTAATGCCCAGATCTGGATGGCTGAACACCAACCTGTGAGGCTGAAAAAGCCACAGACACCAGCCACACTCTTGGAACAATGTTCAGATTACTGCATATCCTCCTGAAGATGCCACAGATGATATGGTTACTTTGTTGTTGTTGTTTCGATTGCTCTTGTTCTCTTCTTGGTGGTGTTGCTTTCTTTTAACTTTAGAAGAGGACATCTTGATATTTTCTTGTTAAGTTAATCATCTACTGGCATTAAAATCCAGAAACAAAGTACTTAAATGCTACCCATGTTCTACTCTATTTGGGAATCACAATGTATGCATATCTTCTACCCTTTTGTTTCAAAGACATACTGCTATGTAATTCTGTTTTACAAATGTAATTATTTTAATCAATATTCACATGAATATATATTTTATGTGCAAAACTGTTTCCTGTGGTGTGTTAAGTTTTCCCACCTAATGACAATTTTAAAACATAAATTTATTATGTATTTACTTTACATCCCAGTCACAGCCTCCCCTCCCAGTCTTCCCCACCCCCCTCTGATCCCCCCCACACAATTTATTCTTCCTCTGTTTCTATTCAGGAAAGGCCAGGTCTCCTATGGACATCAACAAAGCATAGCACAAATACTAAGTTGCAGTAAGACTAAACACCTCCCCATGCACCAAGGCTGGGCAAGGCGACCCAGAATGAGGAGTTGGGTTCCAAAAGCCTGTGAAAGTGTTGGAGATAGCCCCTGTTCCCATAGTCAAGAGCCCCACAATAAGACCAAGCTACACAACTGTAACACATATGCAGAAAATTTCATTTGATGTCATCTGAAAGATCCTTTCTTATTGATGGGTCTTAAAAAGATGGATCTTAGAGCAGAGGGTGTATGACTTAATGTCTTCAGCAGCACAAATACTTTCAGGATCCTTGCTGTCTAGTTGATTATAAGTACCAATTAGAAGTACACAGTAATAATTGAAGCAATAACAAAGTGTAAGGAAGAGTGTTGGGGAATATTATTTTAAGGTGTGTTACTTTTGTGTATGTTGTATTTGTTTAACTCTGTGAAGCTGTGTGACTGTGCCTGTCCAGAACACCTGATGGTCTCATAAAGAACTGAATGGCCAATAGGAAGGCAGGAGAAAGGATAGGAGGGGCTGGCAGACAGAGAAGATAAATAGAGAGAGAAATTTGGGAGAATAGGAAAAGAAGCAGCCAGAGAAGGAGAAGGACTCTAGGGTCCAGCCACTCAGCTACACTGCAAGCCATGGAATAAGAGTAAGATTTACAGAAGTAAGAGAATGGGAAAAACCCAGAGCCAAAAGGTAGATGGGATAGTTTAAATTAAGAAAAGCTGGCAAGAAACAAGCCAAGCTAAGGTTGGGCATTCATAATTGAGAATAAGCCTCTGTGTGTGATTTATTTGGGAGCTGGGTGGTTCTCAAAAGAGCAAAAACAAACAACAACAGGAGCGTTTCCAGGTATAAGTACCTGAAAATAGCCAGAAACAAAGGAAATCCCAGCTACTGATCAAATCTATGTATATCAAATGGACATTGAACATGAAATTCAGTGTTTTGTATATGTTTTTGTAGTTTGAATGTCAAATTTTTATGTCTTTTTTAGTTAAAAAGTTCTTTTTTAAATTTATTTTTATTAATTAGTTAATTTTTTCCAGCCTGATCAGTTTCCCCTCCTTCCCTCCTCTTCTTCCAGGCACTCACCCCAACCTTCCCTCTTTCCCCCATCCACTCCTCCTTTCTCTTCAGAAAAGGGCAGGCCTTCCAAATTGGGGTACAAAAATATGCTCAGTGTGGGTATGAGAAGTAAGGACACCATGATTTAGTGTTTATCATTACATCCATCTGTCTCTCTGTCTGCCATCTATCATGTATGTATGTATGTGTGTGTGTGTATGTTTCTATCTGTCTCTTTGTCATCTATCATGTGTGTATGTATGTATGTATGTATGTATGTATGCATGTATCTCTATCTATCTATCATCTATCTGTCTATCTATCTATCATTTATCTATCTATCTATCATCTATTATTTATCTAGTATGTTGGTGCAGTGTGCATCTATATATGTATGTATGTATGTATGTATCTCTCTCATCTATCTCTATCTCTCTATCTCATCTATCTATCATCTATCTGTCTATCTATCATCTATCTATCTATCTATCTACCTACCTATCATCTATCTAGTATGTTGGTGCAGTGTGCATCTATGTATGTATGTGTGTATTTATGCATGTATCTATCTATCTATCTATCATCTAGTGTGTTGGTGCAGTGTGCATCTATGTATGTATGTATGTATGTATGTATGTGTGTATCTATCTATCTATCTATCTATCTATCTATCTATCTATCTATCTATCTATCGTGTTGGTGCAGTGTGCATGTGCCATGACATACATATGGAAGTGAGAAGTACATGTTGTGATGTCTTGTCTTTCTTCTACCATGTGCATCTTGGGGTTCTAACACAGTTTATCTGGAACAGCTGCAATTACCACTGAGCCAAATCACCAATCCTAATGCTGTGTTTAAAAGGTTACTTAAAGAATATTTAGACTCTTTTTTTTGGGGGGGGGGTTGAGACAGGGTTTCCCTGTGTAGCTTTGCGCCTTTCCTGGAACTCACTTGGTAGCCCAGTCTGGCCTTGAACTCACAGAGATCTGCCTGGCTCTGCCTCCCAAGTGATGGGATTAAAGGCGTGCACCACCACCGCCTGGCACATTTAAACTCTTATTGTCAAGTGTTCATGATATCAACACTATTGCCCCTGTTATTCATTGAATGGAATGCTTAAATTCATATGTAAGAATGTGATCCAAAATGCTGTTGTGTGGGAGTAGGGCCTTATTGGAGGGAGAGGGTTATGAAGACTCACTTTCAGGAGTGAATTTTTACTGTCATCAATGGAGTGGGTTCTGTTGCAGTACAGTTCCCCTCTGGATTTCTCTCTCACTCTTTTGCCTTTCTCATTTCTGCAACAGCCTTTTCCAGGATAGTGGCTTCTAGTTCTGGTTTTGAATATTTTTTATGAAGTTTCTTTCCAGATAGTTTTGCAGCTGTAAACAATACATACCTGCCACTCTCACCCTCCACTCCTTAAGACACCCCATCCACCCAGCCTCCCATGATCTTATAACACATTCATGATTATCATTGTTTGGGGGCTGGATGAGCTTTTGGACACTGAGACCATGTAGAACAGTGGTGACGGAGAAACACTGAGCAGAACCAGAGGAGAGAGGGTTGGCAGGTGGAGCTCTTGGTGGGGTGGAAAACTCCTGGATGATAGAAAGAACAGGTCTGGCCAGGGCCTCAGAAGGGATGGGCAGAACTCACTGGGGCAAAGATACTGTGTGCAGCTATCATGAGGAGGAATCAGAGGTATGATTTGACAGCCAAGGTTTTGTTAGGAGAATCGTAACTCTCCAGGGCTGAGGGACTGCTGGATGCTGTGCAGAATCCCTCTTGTGGAACAGAGGCCAGGAAGATCCAAATCTTTGTGTGACTAGGGCTGTCATGAGGGCATAGGGAACCCAATGCTCACAACATTTCCTGCTACCAAGAAGATGTGGTAGCTGAGGTGGCAGTGTCTGGTCCTTGCAATGTGCATGAGGGTCAGAGACATTCACATTGGGCCCAAAGGCTGTAGAAATTTCTAATTTTGCCTACCATAGTCAGGAAGTTTTTACTCTTATTAAGGGGAAAGGTTTAGACCTAAACCTTTACCCATGGACCTTAGAGTTTCACCCTGTAGCAAAGAGGCCTCAAAACTTTTCAGTTTTCCTAAGGGGCCTCTAGTGTTTCCTCTTTGAAGAAAAGGGTGTTATTTTCTTTCTTGGCCTCAGGGCTCTCTGACCTGGCCCTTCTACTCAGGATGTGCTCAGAAAATCCTCTTCCTTGACATGGCCTTCTTACATCCCCCATCTTTCTAAAAGGCCAGCAGACCTCCCACCTCTGACTGGAAAGTGAAGGTCCTCTGCTTACCTGTGCATGAGGGATAGGTCTGAGTCCTCCTTGGTATGAGGAAGAAGAGGAATGAATATAGCTCCCAACACACTGTGGCCTCAGATCTTCCTTGTCTGGCTGGCCCAAAGGAACTAAAGCTTCCTTTAGTGTTAAAGGGTGTCAAAGGCTATACCCTTTTAAAAAGTTGGACTCAGTCTGGGTCTTCTGTCCAGGGAGCTTTGCATAAGCCTTCTGAATCCATGGCCCCGTAAACTGGCCCTTGTCCCTAAGATTTTTCCTTTGACCCTATGGGGCTTCATGTGCATCCTCTCTGATGAAGGAGTCTATTGAAGTAGACCTCTGTTAAGAAGTAGCCCTAAGATCTTGTGTCTCTGATAAAGGTAGGCTTTAAAACCAATGGAACTTCAAATTTTCCCATGTTACTAAAGGGTGATGCAGAAACTCCACCTCTACACAATATGGCCTCTGTAATTATCCCTGTGGCTACAAGGGCCCATGGATCCTCCCAGGCCCTGAAGGTCCTCAGGCATTCTGCTTCTGCCCTAAGAAGCTTCTTTTTTGCCAAAGGAATTTCAGAAATAACCCTGATGGCCAAGATTCCACAGATATTTCCAAGCTATTCATGAAGTTTCATATATAATCCCTATAGACAAGAACATCTAAGATTTTCTTCCTGTGACTGAAGACCTGAAATATTCTCTTCTGACAAACAAATCTTGGGCCACACTGATTAGAGATCTTTGGTGCCAAGTTTATTTTCTGTGAATAATGAGAAATATAATCACATTATGCAGTGTTCAAGAGTCTCCTTATCTCTGATGAATCCATTCCATGGCCCACAGCAGGTGATTGACACCCCACGGGTTTGAGCCCTCTTAGACACCATTCTCCAATACTTACATCCTGATGATACACTTTAATCATGTTGGTGCAATGGATGATTAGCAGACATTATCAATCAATAGAACAATTATATTATAAAAAAAAGTTCTTTGTCACATATCAAGTATTCATTTTTAATACAGTTAATATTCTACCATGTGCTTCAAATAAATTGAAACATGAGATAGTTTTTTTCTGGCATAATGGAGGAGGAAGAAACCTTACTATGGGTCCTGTGTATATTTTGCCTATGCTGCTCTTTCCACCTCAAATCTCTCTGCGTACAGCACAAGAAAGAGCCCCGGCCTAGCAGGTGCAGGGTGAGGTTAAAAGGGAGATTCTGGAGAGACACTCTGAACATGAAGGTTTGTCTTAGAAAATCCACACCCCCTGGGTAACCACCTTTGTCCTGGTCCCCCATTCCTTTGATTTATCTTCATGAGGTATTTTTTTTTTTAATTTAAAGGCAGGTTCTATGGAGTTGTTTCCATGAAGGAACAGAAAACAGTCTCTGCTCAGGTGAGATGCATTTGGAGGGGTGAGAGTCAGCAGCAGGTGAATGTGGATGTGTGCTCCCAGGCAACACACTAATGACATCACCATCCAAAACAGGAGCTTTCTGATTTGTTGAGCACGTTTCTCATGGATGCCAGTGAAGAGGCAATTGCAAGGTAGGAGCCGTAGACGTTGGGGAAGTAAGTTGCAGGAAGCCTCAGTGAATAAAGAAGGAGTTGTTGGTCTTGGTCTGCTTGGTTCCCCTTCCCAGCTGCCCACCCTCCACCATCACCACTTCCTGGAGATCTCCCATCAGCATTGTGAGACTTTAAATTTTCACAGTTCACACTGCCTCCTCTATTTGTTCAGTCCAAAGGCTACAGAAGGTGGATCTCAAGACACATGAGTCCGTCATGCACAAAGACCAGTGTTTTTGCTTTTTAAGACCAGTGTTTTGATTAGTATTTTATTGCTGTGAAGAGGCACCATGACCATAGCAACTCTTATAAAAGAAAGCATTTAATTGGGGCTTGCTTACAGTTTCAGAGGTTTGGTCCCTTCTCATCGTGGCAGGCAGCATGGCGGCACATAGGCAGACATGATAGCTGAGAGTTCTACATCCAGATCCACGGGCAGCAAGAGGAGAGAAACTCTGGGCTTGGAATGGGCTTTTTGAAACTTCAAAGCCCACCCCCCAGTGACACACTTCCTCCAATAAAGCCACATCTCATAATCAATTCAACAGTGTCATTCCCTGGAGACAAAGTATTCAAATCTATATGCCTATGGGGACCATTCTCCTTCAAACCACCATAACCAGCATGCCTTGATCACTGAAGTTTCATTCCTCTAACACAACCTGTGGCCTCCCCTTACCTGGGAAACTTCTACTGTCTCAGCAGGGCTGCTTCTACTTAGTGGCATTGAGCATTTGCAGCAGCAAGCTGTCCTTGGGCAGGGGCAATCCCGCTGGTGGGCCATCTCCTGCAACTGCCCAGCAGGAGGCTTCCCATGAGTACTAGGCTCCTGAAATACTTCCAGTCTTAGCCTGCATAATTGCACAGTCACTTTAGTAACCAGCTGGGCTGCAGTGGGACCCAGTGCGTGCTCTGTGCAGGCATAGGGCCCACTGATCCCAGCAGGGCATGAGGACACAACTTAACTGATAATTTCTCATGGAGTGAAATGAGCCTATGTGGTGGAACACCGATGAAAGCAGGAGCCACCTCTAAGTCTAGCAGGGCATGATAACACACCTCACCTGTGAGTGTCTCATGTCATGTGGTGCCTGCTGGCTTGCTCAGGGAACCCAGGCTGTAACAGCCCTCTTCCTACCCTTACCCCCAATCTATCCCAACCCAAGAAGGAGCCAGCAGCGAATGAGGGCACATGGTGGAATATTCCAGATTCCCCATAAGGGTTCACAGCTCATGGGGTGGTGCCCACAATTTGGCACTCACTATGAGCTAACGTGCATGGCTAAAGGGCTGGCACATGCTCAGTGAGCCTAGGAGATGGCACCCCTCTGGCAGGAAGGAGCCAGGTCAGATTATAAGATGTTGTGAGGGTCCATGGTGGAATATTCCCTGCAGCTGGATCACAAGGTGGCATCCAGCCTGAGCCAATATACACGGACCTAGTACTCATGTGTGTTCAGTACCCTCACCAGAGAGTGCCTGGTTGCTTCTGCTCCTGTCTGTGCTTCTGATATGGAAGAAAGGACAGCTGAGTCCATTTATTTCTTTAGCAACTGGAAAGGACTAAAGGATTTGACAAATGAAAGCTGTTTGAAAAATTTAAATGCACACATTTAAAATGAATAAAAATTAAAGTACAAGAAATGTTTTTCATTAAAAATTACCATGTGTCTGACAGATGTGTATGGAGGCTTGCTTGCCCCTGCTGGTGCATGAAGATCAATAGATAACTTTATTGTGTGCATTCTCTCCTTTTACCTCTTCTTAGAACCTAGAGATCAGATTCTGGTCCTAGGACTAAATTGATTTTACATCCTTGAGAGTCACGCACCATTCTCCACCATGTCATTTTGCAGGCCTCTCAGTCTAGTGAAATACTTAGTGTTTTACTTTTTAATGGTGATTAAGATTTATATTTGCTATTATTTTCATAATAATGACCAATGTGGTGAATGTTCTTGCTTTTCAACTTAACTACATCCTGAATTAGCTAAAACCAAAATGGCTGGGTACACCGGAGAGGAATTTTTTCTTATTTAAATCATTTGAAGTGGGAAGACGTACCCTAAATTCAGATCTTTTGAGATGGGAAGATTCACCTTAAATCTGGGCCACACCTTCTGGTGGCGGTCTCTATGGAGGACACGGAAGAGGGTAGCTCTTGCTCCTTGTCTTCTTGCCCTCATTCTCACTAGCAAGTCCATTCTTTCACTGGCATTAGAGCCTGCTTCTTTGGGAGTCCATCGCATCCTGAAGATCAGCTGAGTCATCCAGCCTCGTGGACTAAACAAGAACAAGAATCCAATAGATTCTTGGACTTTCCATCAGGAGAAAGCCATTGTTGGAATTGTTGGACCACAGCCTGTAAGCCACTCTAATAAATTGCATATATATATATATATATATATATATATATATATATATATAGTCATTCTATCAGTTATGTTTCTCTAAAGAACCCTGACTAATACACTCAATGTAGGCTTTTTTTTAAAAAGCCTATATTACTATAGTATGAAATAAAAATATAGTTCAAGTGGTGAAGTAAATGAGGTAATATATCTTATTTGTAATACAAAGAAATTTGTTCAACTATAATTCATCAGGTATAGTGTACTAGAAAACTGCTAAATTTGGATTATGTGAGGCTTTGGAAATGCAGAAATGAGTAGGGCACCAAGGGCATCTTCTTTTCTTTAAGAAATTTGCCCGAGTGTTAAGAAGTGTTTGGAGGATTTAATACAGTGAATTCCTGTCAATTTTTTTGTCTTACATTTTGTACAAGGGCTAAGGTGATGGTGTGATGAATGAAATGCTCTACACAAGCATGAGGATCTGAGTTCAGATCCCTGTCCATGTAAAATCTAGGGATGGTGACATACACATCTGTGTTCTCAGGGCTGGGACAAGAAATGTGCAGACAGTCAGATACTGGAGCTCCCTGGCCAGGCAGCCAGTCTAAATGAAACAGTGAGCTCCAGTGAGAGATTCTGTCTCACAAATGAGGTGGAGTGCAATCGAGGTAGACATCTTAGGTCAACCTCTGGCCCCTACTTCTCCCTCTACAGTTACACATGTGCACGTGCACATGCACACACACATACACGTGCATACACTACACGTAAAACAATGTTTAATTCTCTGACAAGTAGCTGGAGTTTAACGTTCTCTGTGAAGAATCATTTGGAGTGTGGTAAACCTAGAAGCAGGGAGAATGGAAATATTTTGTGGTAATGGAGATGATGAATAACATCAGAGAGAATTATGAACACTACAATAACTTGGAAAAAGTAGATGAATTCACCCAGTATTTAGAAGGTAGGCTACATGCATATTTGTGCTTGGCGTTGTAAGAGACAGGAGAGTCATGAATAACACCTAACTTTCCTGAACATAAAATAACCATTTAAAATTGCAGGTCCCCTAAGTGGTTACCCAAAGCAAATGAATCAGAATTTCTAAGACATTCTCACTAAAACAGTTTAAAAATAAATTGTGTCTCTGTGTGTGCACGCACATTGTGTGTGCATGTGGGTGTGTTGTATGTATGTATATACAACATGTATGTAGATGGTATGTATGTACTAAATTCATAGTTTGTCATAAACTTAGCTAGGAAAACCTCAAGTAGGCGATCCATAAAATACAGAATAATATTTGTAATACGTGATACTTTGTCTTGTTCATAACTTTAAAGGGAATGTATCTAAGGTTGTAACTGCATATGGCTGCTATGTGTTGATAGTTTATTGACTTTTTAAGATAAGGAAGTATCTTTATACTAGGGATTATGAAATTTTTTCTAGTTATTCATAATTGATACTAGATTCAATGAGATATTTTTATTTGACCATTTTAGTTAAGTGTGGTTTTTTGTTTTTGTCAATGTGTTCATTCACATTGACATATTCAATTACTATCAAATAGTTCTCATGTTATTGGTTGTTTCCAAAAACACATCTTGAGTAAATTGTTTTTCTTGTTACAATATTTATATGCCCTTGAAAAATTAATTGCTCTGCTTTTATTGACTTTGCTTCATACAAAGATATTTCAAGAACATTAAATGGTTATTTTAACATTTAGTCGTAAACATATATGTTTTAATAAATCTTCATTTCTAAACCTATTGCCTAAAGTTATACTGTTTCATTATTTTGAGTAGTATCTGTAATGTTTCCCCTTTACCTATGTTCTTCCTTTCTTATAATCTTCATTCTTTATGTTTTAGCCAGTCTAGACAGATATCAGTTTACCATATTAAACTTTTCAGAAATAAAAGTATTGTTACCATGAACTCATCCTCTGAATTGTAAGCAGGACACAAATTAAATGCTTTTCAAAATAGTTTGCATTGATCATGGTGTCTCTTTACAGTAATACAAAAGTAACTAAGACATCACCCTTAGCAATCAGGTAAATTCTAATTAAAAATTTTTTTTGAGATTTCATCTCAGCCCAGTCTGAATGGCTAAGATCAACAAAACAACTGATAGCAGATGCTGGTGGGGTTGGAGAAAAAGAGGAATCCTCATCACTGTTGCTGAGAATGCAAATATGTACAGGCACTCTGGAAATCAGTATGAAGAATCATCAAAAACAAAATTAAATCTATCATATGCTCCAGCTATGCCCCTCCTTGGCATATGCCCAAAGACACATCATCCTGCTCCACAGATACTTCTACTGTGTTTTTAAGTTGAATTCACAGTTATTTTACAGATCATTAATTTCCTTGAGAAGTTTTCATTAAACTATAAATTTTTTTCCAAGTATTGATTTAACTACCGGTTTTGGCATTACTTAGGGAGTTCTGTAGCAGTTGTGTGCATTTGAGACACTTATTGCCTTTTTAAACAAACTTTGGATTACCTCACCATGATTTCTTTAGCACCTATCCATTTTAATTTCATATTTTCTCCCATCAATTCTTCCTTTTGGAAAACATTTTCTCCAATTTCTTTTGTTGTGTCTCCAGACCTTCATCTCCCTCCATTTATTTCTCTTCCAACTTCTCTATTACTGTTGCTTCTTCCTCCTACTCTTCACTTTTTCTTGTGAACCACAAAAATTAATGAGTGGAAGGCAAGTGAAATGTATGATATAGGGATCAGATCACCCAGGAAGAGTATAAAAACAAGAAAAATATGGCTGTCAAGATGGCTCAGTGGGTAAGGACACATTTCAGGAAGCTTGATGATCTACATGGTAGAAGGGAACCAACTTCCACAAGCTTTCCACTCAACTTCATATGTACACCATAGCATACATATATCCACATATATATGTATATATATATATGCACAATAAATAAATTGATGTAATTAAATTTTTTTAATGATCCAAGATAGCCAGAGCTGTAAACTAATTTAATAACTATCAGCTTTAGATAATTTGCATTGGCATGGATTCTTGTATATTGATATAAATGTAAAATTATTTTTGTATTCCTGTTTAAGATAATTTGTATATTGATACAAATACAAAACTATATTTGTCATATTGTGCATACATTCCTACTTCCATTTGAAATATGTTTATATATTGATACAAATGTAAAATTATACTTGTCATACTGTATGTTTATTCTACCTCTGTTTAGGATATTTTGTATATTGATACAAATTAAGGATATTGTTGTCATATTGTACTATAAATTTCTATGAATGCACATCAACAAGGGACAAACAAAGTAATCCTCTGCCATCAGGAAATTCCCTGAGGGGCCTCACGCAGGCCCCCATGGCAAATTCAGTTCACCCCTTTCCTGCCATCATAGAAGAAGCCCTTTCTCAGAGCAATTAAATCACCAAATGACTATTGGAATAAACTAATTAGGGTGATAAAACATCTATAGCAGAGAGAACAGGAAATTCAGGAAAAACCATAAAGGGAATTTTTGGGAAAACTTCTATAAATGAGCAAAGACCAAAATTAAAAATATGAATAAATGACATTCTCTTTGAAGGTCGTGTAGACACCAGTGTAGATGTCAAAATAATTGCACCAGAATTTTGGCATCCAAATTGGCCTCTTCAGGAGGTAAATGTTCAGCTGTTAGGGATTGGAACATTATCTCAAGTGAAAAAGAGCAAAAGGTGGCTCAAATGTATAGGGCCAGAAGGACAGAGAGGAAAATTAAAGCCATATGTGGTTAATATAACTATGAATTTATGGGGCCATGATCTATTACAACACTGGAATACCCAGATTAACATTCCTCCAACCTCAGAAACAAACCATAAACTAACACATGTTTCTGAGAGAAATATTAGGAGGTTTTATAAAGAACAGTCACCAGCCATCCAGCAGGGCACAACAACTGCTGATCTTTCAAAGACACCAACAGCTCTACCTTTAAAATGGTTAATGGACAAGCCTGTATGGGTACAGCAATGGCCTTTAATGACAGAGAAATTGCAGGCTTTAGAAGAACTGGTACAAGAGCAGTTAAATGCTCAGCATATTGAAGAATCAACTAGCCCTTGGAATTCTCTTGTATTTGTTATTAAAAAGAAATCTGGTTGCTAGGCGGTGGTGGCACATGCCTTTAATCTCAGCACTTGGGAGGCAGAGCCAGGTGGATCTCTGTGAGCTCAAGGCCAGGCTGGACCCAGGACAGGCACAAAAAACTACACAGAGAAACTCTGTCTCAAAAAACAAAAAAACAAAAAAAAAACAAAAAAAAAAAGAAAAGAAAAAGAAAGAAACAAAGAGAGAAACAAAGAAAGAAACAAAGAAACAAAGAAATCTGGTAAATGGAGAATGGTAACAGAACTAAGAACAATCAACAAGCTAATTCAGCCAATGGGCTCTCTACGATCTGGAATTCCTTTGCCTACTCTGCTACCTAAAAGATGGCCCCTTATAGTTACTGATTTAAAAGACTGTTTCTTCTCAATACCCTTACAAGAAAAAGACAGAGAAAGACTTGCCGTCAGAGTGCCTACTTATAATAATTCTCAGCCAGCTAAGAGATATCAACGAAGGGTTCTACCAGAGGGAATGTTAAATAGCTTAACCCTGAGCCAATATTTTGTACAACAGCCATTGGAAGTAATATGCAAACAATTCCCTAAATCTATAATTTATCATTACATGGATGATATTTTACTAGCTGATTCAAATGCAAATACCTTAGAAAGAATGTTTGAAGAAGTAAAGAAAATTTTACCTTGTTGGGGATTACAAATCACTCCTGAAAAGATACAAAGAGGAGATTCTATTAATTATTTAGCATATAAAATAGGTCTACAAGAAATTAGACCCCAAAAGGTACAAATTAGGAAAGATAGATTACGGACTCTTAATGACTTTCAAAAATTATTTGGAGACATTTTCTATCCATGGACTGTTATTGGGGAA